ACAGAAAAAACAAACTCTTTTATTACTAAGACTTGTGTCAGTTGATTCATGATCCACGGTCAGCGGGATTTCAGGACAAGAGTTGGTTTCTTGGATGTTTGAATCAGGACATCGATTTGAACAAGCATCATATGACACTGCCTCACTCTCACTTACTGGAGTATTCGGTAATAAAGCACTATAATTTGATGTGCTAGGAAGATCCGGTAATAACGTCGCACTAGGTAGATCTGTCGTTGATAAATTGGAAGCCCCATCACTACGTAACACTGTCTCACTCACATCTATTGGAGTATTCGGCAATAACGGCGTAGAACTAGATCTACTAGGAAGATTTGTTGATGAAATAGAATTATTGTCAGATATATTACGATACTTAGCCATTAAGGCTGTAAAAGAACTATAACATTTTCTGTGGTATCCATCAGAAGTATTAATTTGCTCCGGTAACTTTATGTTATTATATTTTAAGTTAAATTTAACACGTACGCTCAAAACTTCTTTACATTTTTCCAATTTTTCTTCCACAAAATTTAATATTTTATCATTATTTTCATTACAAAAGACACATTTCATTTTGCAAGCCATTATTATATTGAAATTTCACGGTAAACATTAAAAAACTACAACAAACGTAAACATATGACTTAAATCTGACGCCGTCTTGAAAACATGCGCCGCGGCAATTGTCTCACACAGCCACCTAAACTAAACTCTTCTGACAGTTAAAAGTAACTAATTTCTTTAATCGTTTACGGCCAACAACAAAGTATTATTTGAATCAGAGCCGGCTTAAGGCAATTGAGCGCCTTAGGCATTTAAAAATTTGGCTCCTCTAACTAGATACTATAATTACGGGGCCCTGGGCAAATTTTAAAAAAGCTTATTAGAGCCACCCCAAACTGTTAGCTTAAGGGCGCCCGAGAATTATAACCCAATTATTCCCTATGAATTAGAATACTTTTTATCATTAAAAAAATACATAAAAAACATAAATAACATACAAACATAACAAATATAATGTAAATAAAAAGTGTTAGGACTTATAACTGCGTTTCATTAGTAAGTATTTTAAAAAAATTAAATCAACTTTAATTTTCTGTATTTGTATGTTAGATGTACTGCTGGTTTATTGTAATTAGTTTAATATTAAAATTTCAGAAATACCTTAAAACAAACAGAAAAATTAACACTATCTAAATGTGTATTTAGCCAGCATTTTGTGTAACGTAATCTAACGTAACGTAATTTAATTTAAAAGGCAGGCTAAATCAACCTTAACTATCGAACACAGACTGCTATCACCAAACACACAACACATAGAAGTGCCACTCTTGAATAAACGCGAAAACACCCAAGTCCTTCCGGCAGCAGTTTCCTCTAGTATCGCGTACCCGCTGGGGTGAGCAGCACATCACAGCGGGTACCCGATGCAAGAGGAATCCGTGTGCTTGGAGCATACGGGGGTTTTGAAATAGTTTAAAGAGTGCTAAAGATATGTTTATACAGAAGTGAATTTGCGGCACGATTTTTGTCGGCTTTACACCTCGTTATTAGAAAGGAAGCTAAATTTTTATAAAATAATAAAAACAGTAAAAAATATTCTGTTATTACAATTTTTGGAAAAAATAAACATTTTGGTAGCAATTTTTATTTTTTTTAAGTTGCTTGGGGACAAGGCGCCTATTTCTACGTGGCGCCTAAGGCAATTGCCTTGCCTGCCTAATGGGTAATATGGCCCTGATTTGAATTAAATGCATATACCTCTCCATGGTTAAATGACCCATAAAACAAATAAAGATGCAAAAAGTTTAGCTCAAAAAAGCAACACAAATAATATATTAAACTTTAAAATATTATGAACAATATTTATTGACAAATAAAATTGATTTTTATAAGAGCGGCTGACAGCCGAATGCGTTAAGAGGCTAGCTTGAAAACTTGTCAAGTGACAGTGAGTTCAATCCCAGGCTGGGTCAAAACTTTGTTTAAATTTTAATTTACTAATTTGACTATTTAATTCAGTGGAATTTGACTAATTATTAGTTACTGCTTTTTCGCTATGACAGTTAGTCAAATATGACTTATAATTAGTTATTTTTAACTAATTCATAATTCATACATATTATTTTTACAGCAATAAATCGGTCTGGTTATTGAGTACGCAACCAAATTAATGTCTGGCAAATTAATTTTATACATATTTATATATAAATAAAATAATATTAAAATTACAGACATACTAAAATGGTTTGAAATTAATTTTTTTTTGTTTATAAAAATAGCATCTGGTACATTATTGTCAATAACAAAAATGTCTGGCACTAAGAAATTCATGTTTCTAATAGTGTTTAAAAGTTAGTGAAAAAGAAAAAAAATGTCTTAAAATTATTTAAAATTTAATATTTTTACCTGTAAAGGTGTGATGCGCAGTAATAAACGCAACGTTTACCGGCAGCCAGGTAGCCCGCACGCTGTTCGAGAGAGCATAGGGAAATATATATTAAAGAATCAGCTTTCTTAAAATTCTCTCTCGAAAACGTTGCTAGCTCTTAGACTATTAGTTAACAAATAATTCATTAAATTTTTTTTTTGTTTCAAAATCTGTAATAACATTGTTAATAGGTCTAAAAGCAATTATTCATTCACAAAAACACTCGCCCCCATCGTTAAATATGAGAAAAAAAATAATATTTTAATTAACTACACTTCGCGTCAAATTTAACGCACCACTAAAAGTTTGTCACATTTTCAAAGATAATTTTCTCGCGAACCGTCAAACCGAATTTGGTAATTTTTGTTTTAAAATTGAGGTTTATTCTTTGGTTATGATGCCTTTATTAAAAAATTCTTTTAAATTTAAGTTTTGAGTATATACATATATAACCGTCAAACCGAATTTAGTGATTTTTATAATAAATTGTAGGTTTATTCTTCGGTAATACTACGTTTATTAAAATATTTTTTAAATTAACATTTTGAGTATATATAGGGTGCAAGTGTAATAATTAGTTTTTTTCCGGAAATTTGAAACGCCCTGTTGGTTGTACCAGCTATAACAGCATATGTCTCATAATCAAACTATAGCCCCATGTTCTCTTAACATTTTGTATTTTTATTCACCGGGTTATCTTTATTTTTAAATGAAATATACATTCAAAGATTAAAGATTAAGGTACCATGAATAGTGTACGATATATCGAAGACATTTTATTTGAGCATGTTGTCCCTTTCGCCCGGTAATAATTTTTTACTGATGCAGGATAATGCTATATAGTGCAAGAGTACTTACTTGAGGTGGGTGTTAAAACTTTAGACTGGCCTGCAAATAGTCCGGATCTTAACACCATCGAGCATTTGTGGGATAATATGGGTGGTAGACGACTAAGAAATCATGATCCCTTGCCTGCCTCCCTTGATGACGTAGCAAATATGCTACGAGAAATATGAAATGTCATTGATCAAGACGAGATTAGACATCTGGTTTCGAGTGTGAGCCGTCGATGTGAAGCCATAATTAGAAGTAGAGGCAGAAATACGCTATATTGATATTCTTTAATGTTGGTTTTATTGATTTTGTTAATATTTTTGTTGTTATTGTTACAATCGTTCTTTTTACATTTTTGTCTTAAACTGGAGTTCTCTAATCTTTAACTGTATATTTCATTTAAAAATAAAGATAACGCGGTGAATCAAAAAACAAAATGTTAAGAGAAGATGTGGCTATAGTTTGATGATAAGATACATATGCTGTTATAGCTGGTACAATCCACAGGGCTTTTTAAATTTCCGGGAAAAAACTTATTATCACTCTTGCACCCTGTATATACTCAAAATGTTAATTTAAAAAAATATTTTAATAAACGCATTATTACCGAAGAATAAACCTACAATTTATTATAAAAATCACTAAATTCGGTTTAACGGTTCGCGAGAAAATCAACTTTGAAAATGTGACAAACTTTTAGTGGTGCGTTAAATTTGACGCGAAGTGTAGTTAATTAAAATAATATTTTTTTTCTTATATTTAACGATGGGGGCGAGTGTTTTTGTGAATGAATAATTGCTTGTAGACCTATTAACAATGTTTTTACAGATTTTGAAACAAAAAAAAAATTGAATGAATTATTTGTTAACTAAGCTATATTTCCTAATTAATATATATTTTTTAAATATTATGAAAAATTTTTTGAAATCGGGACAACATTATTTATTAGAATAATCATTAAGAGTCCACCAAAAAAAATTCAACCATTTTCATTTAAATTTGTATGAAATATGCCTACTTGTTTATAGCAATGCATTTGAGATGCGTGATTTTTCTAAATTAAACAATTGCGTTGAGCGACCTCTAAATTTTAATTGATTTCTCTCAAATTTTTACAGATTTTTATTTTCTTGATACTCTTTGAAAACCCGAGTGGTCTCGCATAGAATTCAAAAAAAATTTTTTTTGCATCACCCTACTGTATATATATATATATTAGTATAGTATATATATATACACTCTAAATTTACGATATACTGTTTTGCTGCATTGTAGATAGTTATAATCTAGGCTTAAAATTAAAACTTTATCACAATTTATCGTAGTTTTCTTGGTTTCCTTTTATTTCCCTCTTAGTTAAATTCGGTATTTATTTTTGAATGTATTAAAATAACCGTTAATTTAAACTTAGTTTCTAAAATATACACCCACATATAAAATAATGTATCAAAAGATTTTATAAAAAAAGGATATTATGCAACAACCCCATTAATCAATTAGCCTCAGGCAAGCAGGCAGACAGGCATTTAGGCAGGTAAGCAAACAATATTGCAACAAGTATCTGGAAAGTACGCACGATTATTTGTCCGTCTCACTCTGGGCCAAGGGACCATTCGGCTTCTCGCTCCTGCTCCTGGTTGTCCGCCTGTTTCCGGGGGAATCGACTCACTCTACTCACTGAGTGACTCAACCTGTAAGGGACAAACATAATTTGCAGGAATTGATTGGCTACATTTCTATTACGGCATGATTGATTACAAACTGATAATACACCTGAAAAGCGCGTGCGCTTTTAAAAGCATTCAGGTTCATAGTGGCGTGTATGTTTGCCTTCGACTGATTTAATAAACGTTTTGTTGTTTATTATTAACGACAATTAGTGGCGGGGAATAAAATTATCTGTGAAGTGTCTGCGTGCACAACCTCTTCGATTATACGGTTTTAATCGTGATCCTGTGTCCTGCGAAAAATTCAGGAAGTGCTTTTGTGTGCATGTGGCTAAAAAATAATATTGTCGTTCAGTTCTACCTTTATAAAATATGTGCCAAGTTATCTTCATATTGTTTATGTGTTGGAAGCATAAATTAAAAGTGTTGTGTGTGTAAATCGGCCATAGCCGATAAGAAAAATGTCAAGTATTAAAAAAGGGTCGACCAGAAGGTCCGAGTAAGTATTCTTTATTTAAAACCAATAATTATGCTTTGTCGTTTATGATTTACAGATTTTATACATTAGGTATATATCTACTACATTTCAGAAATAAATTCTCACTAACGTTAATTTCACTGTCAATGGCACTGTTCTTATTTTTATTGAACAAATAATCAATAACATCCCCTCGATATATATATATATATATATATATATATATTAGGGTGAGCCAAAAAAACTAACCTATCGGATTTATGGGTTAAAATGAACCTACATACCGAGCAAAAAATTTCCCTGCAAGGCAAAATTTTTTGCTCAATTTTAAAAGGTGTCGGTGAGCATTCTAAGTTTTCCATTGAAATAACACGTAAAAAAATCTTTTTTCATTAAAAATACCATAACTTTTGAACCGTTTGAGATAAAATGCAGTTTTAGTGATTTTTTACACTTTTCAAAGCTTTCAAACATACGAATTTTTGAATTAAAAAAAATAATCCTGGTTTAGATTCTTTGGGAAATTTTATGCTCTACAAGAATCCGCGACCTAAAAAATTTTATCTAAAACGGTTCAAAAGTTATAGTCTTTTTAATGAAAAAAGATTTTTTTACGTGTTATTTCGATGGAAAACTTAGAATGCTCACCGACACCTTTTAAAATATATTATATATATATATATATATATATAATATTTATTAAAATATAAAAAATAAGTACTTATTTACAATTATAAACATTTTTTACATAAAACATTTAAATTTAAAAAATTTGTTATTGCAAGCTTTACAAAAATAGTTATTTATGCACCTAGTGCCCAAAATTGAACTTGGTGATTGAGAATGATGTTTAATAATTCAGAAGTACCAAAGAAACTTTGCGCATGAGATGCATTCATTTTTTAATTCCCAAAAATAACAAAGTTTTGACAGGTTGTCAGTTTTTTTAAATTATTTAAGATATTTTAAAATTTTTAAATGACCTTTTAATAGACTTGTAATTACGCAACTTTTCTTTAATTTAACCGACTACAATTTTGTAGCTTTTGAAATAACAAAGATACCCATACATAAAATGATACCTGTAGGCAACATAATATTATGTTCTATATTATTTAAGCAACCAATGGCTATTTTAATACGTTAAATAAGTACATGCAAAATGTTTAGTAAGTTTATTAAAATAAAATTTAAAACCTATTAAAATAATAGTATATTATGTATCAAGTTTAATAAACGCCATTTTATACACGAATTTAATTCAGGCACGAGCGAGCTTGCGAGCGAGTGCTTAAGTTAATAAGTGTATAGAAAAGTTTATAAACGAGGTGCATACTATACTTTTTCTACGACAAATACTTATTATTATCTTAAAATGATTTAAATCAAAAATTTGTATAGAGCGCCATCCATGAAACAAAAGGGGAAACTGTCAAATGTCACATTCAGATTCACATTTTTACATTTTATAAACACAATTATAAAGGTTATAAGTCGAAATGTATCTTAAAAATTGACAGTTTTTCATAGTGAAAGTAAAGAAAATGTTTTATGAGCACTTTACAGTGGAGCCCGAATTTAAGTTGTAGTTTACTGCCGGCGAAATTAAAAGGTCAGTACAATATTCATATAAACTTTTCAAATATTGGCGTTCAGAAACTATTTAATATTTTTGTATTTTTGTATTGAGATAATAAAATAGTTTTCACATTTAGTATTATTTTACAAGAAAGGCACTTTATTTTAACGATTGTATGACATTTGACAACTGTCAACTAACTTAAAACCAACTTCAGCCCGTGACTAAAAACCTGTTGCTAACTTCAGCCCGTGACTAAAGCGCCGTAAAGCCACAATTTGTCAATGTGTATTTAAAAGATCACTTAGTGTCATGGAAACATGCAAGATAAAGGGCGTTTTAAAGGTGGAAGTAGAAAAAATCCTTTTTTATTATAATCAAAGAGAATTTGGGGTCATTAGTCATTAGTCATTAAATTTAATTATTTTTAATCATATACTTACTAGTATAATCCCCAAATTTTCTTTGATTAAAACTAACGCAATATTTTGTCCAGTGGCGGATCCAAGGGTTTTAAGAGTTAAACACAAATTCTTTATTGCAGTAATTAGTATAATTAATTACAATAACTGTTAATAATTAATATATAAAAAATATAATATCTATACTATGCAAAAAAAGGTGTCAATGGGTCAGTGAGGGCAAGATAATAGATAGAGGATATCAATTGTAGGCTAATTAAATTTAATTTATAGTGTCCGACCGAAGCTGCGGCTTCGGCCAAAATTGAGCCAAAGGTTTAGCCGAAGCCGAACATTTAACAGACTGCCTGTAAATCCCCAAATTTTATAGTAGGAAGTAGGCTTCGGCCAAACCTTCGCATCAATTTTACCTTAAGCCGAATGTTTGGCCGAAGATTACATTTTTTTATATTATACAGAGTGTCAAAATTTATCTGATATCCATTGCTAATTTCGTTATTATTGGAGCTACAAAGTCGGTTAAATTAGCAATTGGTGATATTTTTTCTTCGATTAAACTGGTTAAAAAGAAAAACAATTAAACGACGAATTTCCGAAATTTTCACAAAAATAACATTTTTTTTTAAATGAAACACATTTATAAATAAGTATACTTATAATAAATAAGTATACTTAATAAATAAGTATACTTATTTTAAAAGACAGTTTAATTTGGAACAAAAAATTATAATTGCATAACTACACTAGCCTTACAAATAAACGATTAATAGGCACTTAAATTTTCTAATTGCTAAAATATTCTTTACACAAAATGGTTAAAAAGATGCTTTAACACGTAGAGTGCCATGGGGGATTAACTCTATTTCAATGCAAACTGTGTGACAGACCATTAGAGATGTATTAAGCAATATGGAAATTTATTTGGTTTTTACATAGTTTTTGATACAGCAAAAAAATACTAATACATTTTTATAAAGGGGGCATTGTGGCCGTGGGGGATTAACGTATACCGGCGGACCAGAAATTACTTGTGGCCGTCTCGCATGCATAACGTTAATGCGAAATTTCAATGCAAAGTATATGGCAGTCTATCAGAAATGTATTTAGCAGTATATTTGGTTTTAGTATAGAATTGATTTTTACATATTTTTTGATTAGGTAAAAAAAAACTAACTAATTGCATTCCAAATGGCATATATTTTTTATTATTAAATTAAGTAAATGTTGTAATTGTTGTGATGTTAATTGTTCTGAATTAACCTGGCTTGATGAACCATACAAAATGTTGCAAATTGATTCCTCGACGGATCAAAAATTATTGATGATGGTGGAATTTGATTGAAACACTCACTTACTTAAAATAACGCAACTTTATTAACTATGTACATTACAAACTGTTGCCCAAAGATCTGCTGATCCTGAAGCGAACATGCTTAATATTGCAGTTTATTGCATTTATAAAACAATCATTAAAAAGCCCAATCAAATTTTTCCAAAATGCAAAAATGATGCAAAAGATAACGTATGTTCGTTCCGGTAATCCATCAACAGCTTCGATAAAAAGTTTGAGAGAGAGAGAGATAGAGAGATAGAAAGCGAGAAAGAGAGAGAGAGGATCTCAACGTTTCGCTTTTTGATCAAACTCCTTAAGTCGGTTTCATATAGATGCGAACTATTTTAGGGCGATATTTTCCATGCTATTTTAGGTACTAAAAAGTAAATTTACTTTAAGTGGCTATAAAGGTAAAATAAGAAACATTAATGTACCTCAAAAAACTCTTTGTCCATTATAAAAAACAAACAAAAACTTCAAACACTTATTTAAACAGTTTGAATAAAACTCAACAAAACAAACACTATGATACAAACTAAATAAACATAAATGGCGTAGGTATGATAAGCAATTGCATTAATGTACATGCGAAACGCATGCGCATTACATCAAATTAGTGCGATTTTAGCAAAATAATGGATCAATCTCAAGATTCCCGCCCCCTCGATTCAAATTTTGCTAATTCGCAGGATCTGTCGAAACGAGGAAACGCTTTTCCCACCAAATGAAATGGACCAATGAAAGCATTTTTCGCATTTCGCAATTCGCATTTCGCATCTATATGAAACCAGGCTTTATTGTTCTAATATGGCTCCGGCCGGCATTTTCCTAAACTTAAATTACCCTTTGGATCAAATTTAAAAAACAAAATTAACTGAAGGGATTAAGCGCTAATCTAGAAAATGTCACTAATGGTATAATTACTTAAAAATAAACTTATATTATAAATTTGTTTGAGTTTTATAAGGAAATCTGGTTACCTAGGTAAAAGCTTTTGACAAAATACAGATGTGTAATTAATTCACAATGTTAGCAAAAAAATATTGAAGTGAAACCTTACCTTACTTACTTTACCTACTCTATGAACATTACGTTCAAGTATTCCATTTCAATTAAAATGAACAAAAGAATATGCCTTGCTGCTGTAGTTGAGCTTCCAGTAAACGAACGTCTTAGGTAAATATAGAGTAGGCACAAGATATGGCCATGAAATTTATAAAATTCTGCAATATTAAGATTAACACGATTTGCTAAACATGACATAATATGAATACCTTAAGCTAGTGGTAATAGCTTACGAATTATTATCGAATGCAAATTTTATTTTATACTGTAAAAAATATTCATTAAACGGTAAATGATTACAGTTATCAACTTTCTCAATAATATATTTACATCAACAATTAATGTTTATGAATTCTTAAAATAACCAAGATGAAAAGTGTTTTCTTTCTTTTGTATGGAATTTCAGGGTTAAATCATTCCGCGCACTGCGGTTCTGTTAATATACTTTTAATAAGATACTGCATTAATTACATTGTCACTGCATAGGTGTTACGTAATTAAAATCAGGGCTGTATTAAGCACTAGGCCAGTGGTGAAGAGTGCGAGTAGACAGGGTAAACATTGTTTACTAAACAATATCAACCCAAAATAATTAAACAGAAATTTAAGTAGAATAATGTTC